AATTGTCCTTTATGTCTATTTCTTCTGGCTGATTAAGCCCTAAGAGTTATCTATCCTTCAAAACAGGGTTCACAAGTTTGGTTTAGGCTCCCCTGCCTCACTAGGTAATTAACCTTCATTGACCAATCTTTGAATCTTATTTTGATTGATAACAACCCAAAAATAGACATTAAAAATACAATGAGTCAGGAATAACAATTTTTCTCTTAACATTCAATCTAGAAGATGCAACATTAGTTTTTACATCCTGCAAATCTTAAGAGTTTGTGATTATAGTATATTAACCATCTTTCAATGCACCAGAAGCAATAGCATATCTATTCAATTTTATAAAACCAGTTTTACAAAATAACAACACAGTTTTTATAAACCACAAGTGAAACAAAAATTAGATTGCGTCTAACTTCTGTGCATAAAGATAGTTCTCTAATACTAATATCCTCGTACTCTCTAATTTCAGATGTAATACTCCCACTGACCTAACTACAACCTTGGCATCAGGTCAAAAGATAAATATATATCCATATCATCAAGGCTTCTGGATTCCTGAAATCCTTACGATGAATTGTAAACATGTTTAGTGGCTCCAGAATCTATCCATCAGGAATTAATAGATGCAATCACATAACATAGCTCAATAATTAAATATATATTTTCCTATGCCACGTCATTGCTTAGACAGTTCGTCCTATAGTGTTTTAGTTAACGGCAAAAGAAACAGTTTCATTCACCCTCAACATACACTGCCTTATTCCCTTTAACCTTTTAGATACCTATGTTTTGTGCTAGCCTAGTCCTATTATCATCCTTCTTCTTTGCTTTGCCCGTCCACTTGGGCCTAGAAGAAGATGGTATAGACTAGGTTAGATTGATAGGAACGCCCAAACTCTTGATTATCCCTTCATCTGTTACCAATTCTATAAGAATATCAGCGAGTGTGAACTCAAACTGATTCCTTATTTAGTTCACTCTAACAGAGTCGAACAAGTTTGGTAACAAGGCAATAATCATGTCAACTTGAAACTTACCACCCAAGTCAGCCCTATTGATCTCCAACTAATTTTAAATAATAAATAATCATTTTCCAAAATTTGATTTCATACTGGAGTTCCTTAGGCTATCTTGATGCTATTCAAGTCTGATATAGTACTTTAGCATACTCTCTATCTAATCTCACCAAAACATCTTATTGACATTTAACATGATGCTTGAAGAAAATAAAATAATGTAAATGTTAGCTTTAGAGCGTATTCGAGGTAAACTCTAGAATATTGCACCAATTCATCTCATTTGTCTTATTTCACTTATTCAAAGCATTAATGTTCTCTTGGGTATCTTAAAGTAAGAGGATTAGGTTTTAGGAGTAGTAAATACATTTGTACCACCACGTTGTGAATAAAATATCTAAATTTCTTTTCTAGTCATTATAAATGAAGTCCACATACATTGAAATTAGCAAGCAGATAAAATGGATTAGACATAATTAGTCTGAATATAAATGCATTCATACAATATGCAAGGTGAATTATTAATACTGTCATGCATATTTAAAATTAAAATGAGTTTGTTTACCACATAATATAATAAATCTCAATCGAACAAGAGATCATTATCATTATTGGTGAACAATCCCTTTTAATTAATGTGGGTCCCTCAACTCTGCAGCATAATAAATCAACCAATCAATATGTCAATAACTTATCCTGTTGGAGGAGTTCATTATTACTATTGTAGAGATTCATTTGCTATTAGGTGAGCACTTCCATTAAAATAATATGTGGGTCCCTTAACCACTGCATGAAAAATCGGATAACCAATACACCAATAACTTATTCGGTTGGCGAAGTTCATTATTGTTATTGGCGGGCAAATCCCATCATCTCCATATTTCTTAAGACAATGTCTTATCTATCTATATGAAATGATTCCCGATTATGTTTAGCCTTTCTAAAATCACCTAGTGTAGACCACTCCGTTGGGGAGCTAACACTATTGATTTTAGATTGAGTGTATAACGTTATTAAAGCTCTAACAAAAAATAAAACATTAAATATATTGTCATTATAATCTAGACTCTTTAAATCATGCGTAGGGCCTTATTTTTAAAAATCTAATTACAATGAACATTTAATATTTTTATTTTCATGAGACAACCATTCTTGTAATATTAAGACTCTTCAAATCATGCGTAAGGCCTTATTTTTGAAGATCTAATTACAATGGTATTAATAACGAAGGCCATGGGGCAATGTATAAAAATCCCCGCTCCCACTCAATTTTTTTAATCATTCATAATTAGGGTTTTCATTTTATTCAAATACATGATATGATGCATGTTAAACGTCTTGATTTTAATCCAATTAAATTTAGAAAATATTTGGACTTTAAATGATTCACTAATATTTAATTTGAAGAACACTTTAAAAATAATTTACAAAAATAATTTTTCGTTTCCCAATAAGTGCTCTCAAATTAATTAGTAATCAAATCCAATTAATTTTCATAATTTAATTAATATAAATCAAGTCATTTAATTAAATATCATGGATCCAATGCATGAATAATAATAATAAACAATTAATTATTCCATGAATCAGTTAAATAAATAAATAACAGACAGAAGCAATTTAAATGGCCAATGGATTCAGCTTTTAACATTTATATGCTCTAAGTAATGCGCGAGGGTCTATCATTAGCCGCGTCACATAGGATTATTTCCCATCAATCCCTCTTGATCTCCGACCAAAACCTTGCCGCCGACAACTCTCCGGTCGCCGGAAAATCGCCGAAAAATTCCAGAAATTAAATTAGGCCTTAAAAAATTCCAGAAAAATTCCGGAAAATTTCTAAAAAATCCCAGAAAATTCCTGAAGCCTAATTTAACCCTCTTGGACATTCTTGAAGCTTCATAGCATCCTTTGACGAAGATTACATGGCTTTAAAAATATTTACAATTTGAAATACAATGAAAAAAATTAAATTACATCATTGAACTTTCAAACGGCTAAATCAAAGCCTTAATTACATTCATCCAAAGATAAAATTACATTCAATATTCCTATAAGCTTCATCCATAGCCCAAAACACATATCATCATCCATTCACAATTATACATACATCATCATGTATCAATATATATCAATATATTAATTCATACATCAACATACATCAATAAATAAATATATGCATATCAAAATTGGATCCATGAATGATGAATTTTCATAAAATCATGATCTCTAGTAATGAATCAAACCATGCTCTGATACCACTGTTAGGAAACGTGCTAGTTTTAAAAAAATTTCGAGGGATTTAAATTCATAGATCTTGATTCATTACATAGAGACAAGTTTTATGCAAAAATAAAACATGATGTATCATTCAATTAAAAGATTGAATACTTACATCAAGGTTTGAGTAAACCTTAGATCTCTCCTCTAAAGTGAATGTTCTCACTTATTGTAGATTCCTTAGTAAGATGCATTCTTCTTGGATCTCCATCTTCTTGGTAATTGTTTTGCCTTTAGGAATCACTCATATGCCTCCATGAATGACCTTGGAAAACTAGGCTTGTGGGAGCCTCCATTAGATGAGAACATAAACCCTAATTTTCTAGAGAGAGAAAATATATTCCTTTTTCCTTCTACTAAAAATCACACCTAAAATATACATAGATCATGTATATTTATAGGCAACATAAAGGTAAAGAAAAGGAAATAACTAATCCTTCTCAATCTCTAATTCACATGTCTCAAATCTAATATGATTCCAATATCAAGTTGGGCTATGAGTGAGAATCCATTGGGCCTATTATTTTATTGGCTACAATGAATTAATAATTGGCCCGGTCCATGGACCCAATTCAATTAATTCATAAATTAATTTCTACTCCACTAAAAGAAATTAATTGAACTCCAATTAAATAATAAATAACCTCTAAGTCAATATTGCACTTTGACCCCTCTATGCATAATTAGTTATCGGATAAATAAAGCCATCAATCCGACTACTTAATTAATATATTTATTTTGGTACCTTTGATTATTTCTGACTCGATCACAATAAAACATTTGTTTGACAAAAATAATAATTTAAATAAATAAATATATAATAAATCATTTTGTCTAAAAATACACGAAGGCCTTCGAATTTACTTTGTGATCAACCATAATCAATACAAAATAAATACAAGTAGTAATGATGCAAATATTGAAAATATAACCCTCTAACTATTAATTACATAACTACCCAAAGTGTCGGTCTAAGGATCCCGAAGAATCCGCTGAACAAATCAAAGTAATTATTAATTAATAAAAGAGTCTATAATTTTCTCATACTTAAGAGTCAAATGCCATGACGGTGATAGGGAGCAATTGCATACGACGGCTCTCGCAATATATCTCAACCTAACGCGGATCTAGTTCAAATCTTAATTAATTATGAGTCCATCCATAATTACCGACTATGAACCATTTATGATTACTATTTATATATCATGCATTGATTGCCATCACAAACATATATATAAATATCTCTTGTAATCAAATGGACACTATCAATTCTATAATGAATCGAAATATAATACATTGAATTCACCAATTGTATAAAACATAAATATTTCATAAACGTCAGGAACATATGTCACTTTAATCCAAACAGAAATTTGCTATGCCAGGGTATATAAATCCCAACAACGAGTGCGTACATACTGATCTAAGTCTAATTGTTGCTTATGGCTTATTTTTTTATGATGGAAGGTATTAGGATTGTTGGTCTTGGCACAATAGTAAGGTCATTCTAGTACTGTCTCCCGGAGGTCAATTCTTCACGAATTCGAACTTGATTGCTACAAAATTGTGCCTAAATATATACATTACAATGGTATGAAGTTGTACCACTTTAATAAATTGATGCACTTTTACCAGATTGTGGTTGCTCAAAGAATTAAAGTAGTATGCAACATTTGCAGTAATATAAGTTAATAATGTTTCTGTGTCAAGACATAAGCACAAAATTTTCTTCCTTAATATAGATTAATTCATTTGACAATGTTTGAATTTCAAATATAAATACATGAGATTAAGGAAAAGGCAGTGAATTAAAAGTGCATGCACTCAAACATGATCACATCTTTTATTCTAGCCAACATTTTCAAGCATGGTACAAAAAGAAACACAACTAGCTAGAAAGATTGCCCAGGCGCACACATATTTTTTAGGGGGAATCACACACATGAATCATATATATAGAGAGAAATACATGCACTATGGCTGAGTATTAAGTACTGCTTCAATAGCCTCCTCAGCAATGATTTTATAAATGCTTTCTGTCAAATGAACTGCATCCCAGAATACGTATTTTGTACGATCAGTGCATGTATTCAAACCCCGGCATGAATCCGCGTATTCTATAGTTCCAGTTCCACAACACCCCTTTTTAGTTTCTGAGAAACCTGACAATCAAACAAAAACTACAGTCAATCCTGTTGAACCAACCTCCGAAATAGACATGGCATTACTCGATTCAATTTTCAAAAATTTGCCTATTAAGAAGTTCAAAATTTTATTTGGTCGATGATTTTATACTTTGAAATTGAAATTAGAGAAAATTCAGTTCAAACGAAGAGAAATAAAAATTACTGAATTATACTAACCATATTTCCCGGGGTTTTGTATTGCACTCTCTATGATACTGTATATATCTATATAGCAATTTCTGATGTTTTTCAGAGCGGCCATCTTTGCTTTTAACTTGGAATTGAATGAGAGGGCAACTTTGTTGTAACTCTCATCACAGATGGTCTCATCCTTTAGGGTTTTGACAAGTGGTGAACATCCGAATGGCGGTAGCCCCACGACAACCAATCTCCTTACTCCTAGACGATACATTCCCTGTGACCAAAAAGGGATACAACTTATGCACATATAACTCTAATTTTTATTATGGAAAAGAAAGAAAAAAAATTGTGTGTGTGTGTGTGTGTGTGAGAGAGAGAGAGAGAGAGAGAGAGAGAGGGGACCTTGATGGCACGAGACATGCGAGAGATGAGATAATTCTGGTACTGTTCAATGGTGAATTGGTCGGAGCGAAAGGAATCAAGGTAATAGTTTTTGAGGAAATCATTGGTGCCCATACTGAGAACAAATAGGGCATTGCTGGTTATTTCTTCAGCTTTCTTCTCTCCCACCACTTGTCTCAACTGTACCTTGTAATGCTTGAAATACTCCAGTTGCTTGGTCAAAGGTATTGCGTTCTGCAGGTTCATCAAATCAATATAGATTAATTAAGAAAACTATGTTACTAATATATATTGATATATATCATGGTTCGCAGTATGGATCACGATTATTCACGGTCATGATCGCAGTGTAACGAATTCGGATAGAATTAATATAAATTGACAGATACCAATTGCATATTAAACTTAAAAAAGCGTCGCGTATAGAACAATAGAACAATACGATGAATCATAATAATAGTGATATATATATATATATATATGTGTGTGTATAATTCTTATAAATGAAGTAATAGACCACTTAGCCAAGTGGCCGGTATCTCCTCTGCTTTCAAATCACATATTATACTTGTATATATGAATATAAAATATGATTTTCTTTTTTTTTTTTTTTGGGTAAAAAGCTATCTCCTTACCATTTATGACACTTTGGAGAGACCATATAAATATATATAATTCTTAAATGGGATAAAGTTTAAAACCGTCAATAAACATATGAGCATGCGTATACATAAAAATGAATCTTACACATCAGTGAGTAAAAAATTTATTCACATAGAATATATTAACTGATCGGTTTGATCTAAGTGTAAAAAAGGTAATTAAATAAAAAAATAAAAATAAATAAAAAAACATAACAATCATATTCAAGAGTATTCACCAGTGTGAAAGATTCAAGGGTGTGTAAGAAATTTATATACACCGGTTAGATATAATTCAAGTATAAATTAATTACATATTGATGACTAAGTGATCATTTCTTATAAGATTGCTCACCGGTGTGTAAAAAAATTATCTACACCGAGCATAATGACGATGATGCTATATACCGATATATGGACTTTTTGCAAACCTACTCAAGGTTGTGAGAGGTTTAATTGGAGAACTTACTGAAAGATTGGTGGTGTAGCCATCGTAGCCAGCACCACCTGATGCGAAACTAACGCCATTAACCAGATCTTCCTTCTTCAAATTTGGGTCGAGAAAGCCTGGAATTGTTTCTTTAAAACCTAATGTGTTGGCTACAAGGAAAAAGTAAAACGGGGCAACAATTATATTAAAAAGCATTAATTAGAAAGTTATTTATTTAATTAAGTTGCATAACAAATGATATATATATATATATATTCCTTGCAAAATCTATTAGGGACACACACATATACGCAGTATATATTTATTATATATACAAATATATGCATAATTTTATATGTTTTGGTTGGAGTAAAATATATATATATTTTTAGTTAGTACATGTGCATGTCTTCATTAAGGCTTAAATTCTTGACATTTCTTTAAAAAGTAAAAATCTAACACAGTAGGGCACTGCCCGTTGGAGTAATTTTGCTCTATTGCTAAATAATATTAGTGGACAAAGATGGATAGAATACAATTCTTATAACAAGAAGGATAATAATTTAGAGTTTGAAAGTTTGACAATTTCGATTAATCTATGAGTGGTGGGGATTGATGTTATTCTAATCACATTAACAATCTTGACATCATATATATATATATATAAGCGCCCCGTATATTACTGTCTCAGTCGTCCGCATTTCCTTTTCAGGATACTCCAAAATATAAGTCCACTCCCATTTTTGGAAATAAATTTGTTTTAACTTCCCAAATTGCCCTTTGCATAAATTTTTCTTTTTCCAGCTTAGTTGTACACTGTACTCCATAATACACACCAAAATATAAGTCCACTCCCATTTTTGGAAATAAATTTGTTTTAACTTCCCAAATTGCCCTTTGCATAAATTTTTCTTTTTCCAACTTAGTTGTATGTACACTGTACTCCATAATACACACATATATGAGTGATACACTTTAGAGAGAGAGAGCCCTCACAAGTCACAACTGTATCTGGAGGGAGAGATCGATTAAAAAATCCAATTGCTTTTCATATTAATAATTTGCTTAATGCATTAAGTGTATGTCTTCTGAGCATATTAATAATTTCATAGAATGAAAAAACTGAAAACATACAACTTGAAAATCCGTTGGTTGAAGTATTTCCAAATACCATCATCTAAAACTATGTTAAAAAAAATGTATGATTTTAAAGAATATATCAATTTTTGCAGTTTTTACAACAGTTTTCCATTTTTAGAATTCTTGAAAACTAATTTCGAAGTATCTAAAGGTCTGTTTGATTTGGTTTCCCATTTTTTAAAATTAAAAAAAAAAAATTATTTAGTTGACAGTTCCAGAAATTATTTTCCAAAAACTCAATTTAAAAATAATAATAAAGCTCCAAGGAAAATAAGGGCATGCTTGGTTTGTAATTTTGAAAACAGTTTTCAGAAACTCAAAAAACAGATAACAGTTTTCAGATAATTATAAAAAACGGTTATTTAAAAATAGGTGTTTTTATAACTGAGTTTTCATAAAAGAGTTTTTAGAAAACTGAACCAAAATTTTTTGTACAGTTTTCTTTTTTCAGTTTTCTGAGAACACAAAACTATTTCTATAGTTACAAATCAAACAAATCTAGATCTCTGAAAATAATTTTTTGATTTTAAATTTTTAAAGATTGTTTTTAAAAAATTGAACCAAACAAACCCTAAATAGCTTATCCAACAACTATGATCTGCAAGGACAGTGTAATAGCAAAATGGTCACTTCACGTGTTGAGAGTTCAAAGCCTTTGCAACTACTCTTGTGAATATTTTTGGTAATTTTATTTTTCTTAGTTGGTGGTATTCACACGTCTCCCTAGAGACTTTAACCTCGACCTTCCTTTAATAAAAAATAGGACTTTATATATATTTGTCTTCCTATATATATTTATTTTTTTTTTGGTAATTGTCAGCTGCATGCATTGGCGTGCTCTAAAAACTTGGAACACCATCATCATAATAATAAATAAAATTCTTTAATTTGCTTCAAACCCAACATTCTTGGGGGTTCGTACTGTGAACTGTCTACTAAAACAAGAAAAAAGATTTTTTTTTTTTTTTTTTGTATATATTTTTAAGGTTTAACAAAATCACACACTCATACTTTAAAGAGGTGAGTTTGTACAGCTGTCCATTTACTTAAAATATATATATATATATATTTTCAAACAAATCCGAAATGTGTCAATAATATTATTACTCCTAAAACAAATCCAAACAAATATATTTTTAGTATCTTTATGCAATCTGCAGAGCTAGCTATAAAATGCGTCAATAATATTAACATTCCAAAACAAAATATATATATATATAGAAAGACAAATATATATAAGTTTTACCAATGAAGTCTGTGGCAAGTCTGCCATTACTAAACCTTCCGGTAGCACGGCCGTTGAAGAAATCCTTCCCATAGGGTGGGAAGTTGCATTTAGGTGCCAATGGGAGATGGTTGTTATTGCCCGGATCAACGCTCGAATCTCCAAACACAAGGACACATGTCACGTTATTCTTCGCTGCAAACCGCCTCACCCGACGAATGTCAATGGCAGCTCGGACCTGCAGCAATGGGTTCATGGACAATAAGATTATGATCACCATAATAAATGTCACCCTCATTATGGAACCAGTACTAATTATGGAACCAGCTTAAGAGAAACTGAGTTTCAGAGTGTAAGAAGGATTTTGTTTCTGAAGTGTGAGCTTAGTTAACTACTCTGATCTCTTTAAATAAACCAGAGCATTCGGATGTGTTAGGTTTAGCATTTATGATTGTTTTTCCATAATAGTATAGAGTGATACATTGAGTTTTTTAATTTTCTTAGAAAAAACGTGTGTACGTTTATATGCGAAAATAAAATAAAAATATATATATGATTTTTGTACTGAATATTTGCAGTGACTAGTTAAACTTACTGGCAATTAGACAATTTTTTTTGTGAGTATCACAGCTCATAAAGTAATAGAAGAGAATAATTGATATTGAATTCACATCAAAACCGATGTTGAATAAATACTATAATTAGAAGAAGTACAGTGATAAAGTAATGTGCTCTAAAGAAGTAGAGCTGTCTTTTTTTTTTTTTCTTTTTTTCCCTGAATGAGTTGTCCTCTTCATTAAAACTATACATTCTTTTTATGGACCACTAAATTGTAATGACCTAGACAAGGTTATATATATACATATATATAGATGTTTTACTATCTCAATTTTGAGCTAATAAATACAGTTCAGACTCTTGTTAAGAGTAGTAGGATATATATGCATGTATGCACGTATATATATATATAAATACATGAACTCCAAAGTATATTGCTAATTCAATTTGTCACTAATATATTAGAATTATCTGCAAATTTCTTTAATTTTGTAGATTTAAAATTACCCTTATTTTTTCTGAACATTTCATAACTTTCCTTACGTCAATTAGTGTCAGAATCATGATTTACCTTGTTCGATGGTGATTGATGATTTTGACAGCACCTACTTTGCTGACTATGATCACAAAGTAAAGACCCATTCATGCATGCTAAAAAACAATTCATAACTTCCAACTACTTCATTAGGAGTCTTGGGTAAACTATCCTAATGTTGAGCTCAAGTGACGCGGCCCGGAGGCATATGAATGAAAAATAGGTTGGCTGGTTATTTCATTTCAATTTTTAAAAATGTAAGAAACATATGTTGTTTTATTATTGTGACAAACCTAACTATTTTCATATTTTGACTTAAGTATTGTTCATCACGTGAAGACCATCTCCTAGTGGATGAGAGAACTAGTTGATTGCGACGTGGCCCATGTTAATAGGTGCGGATCCATAAATCCTATAGGGACCAATCGTCAACCAGAGGCTAGTAAGGCAAGGAATTATAATAACTTATGTCCAGAAATTACATATTCCGGTACTAAAATATTCCAGACAATTATAATCACACATATATAAATAAATATGTTAATTTTATTTCATTTCTTTACTTATGTGACAAGTATAATTTATTTGTGTTGACAATGCAACCATTAGAACAACTTTGTGGACAATGGACAATAACAACACATAACCATTTGCATAATAGATGCGCAACATTAATTACTGTGCACAGTATTCAACTTGATGTTCCTGCAGTTGTGGACAATACAACCATTTTCGTTCTGGGATGCATTTCTTGAATATGACTGATAAGGGTAGTACATAACCTCTCAAAATATTGGTCACCGCAAGGTTAAACTCTTATAATATTGGTTTAGACATGTTGATACTCTTTGAATAAGTGTATTCGTATTCGTGAGGTGTGGTGATTTTGTTTGAGTGATAAAAAATTAGATCTTAAGGACACTTTATCCTACTTTTCTTGATCAAATTCTTTTCCTCTATCTCTACTAACTATCAACTTTCCTTGAAAATAAATAAATAAATAAATCAATTATTATTATTATTATTGAAATAGTTTGACCTTGTGCTATGTGCCCGACAACCAAGTTATATAACATGGAGACTTAAGGCAAGAATTCCAAATATATATTTTTAAATTGATTGGCTGAAATATTGCACTAAATCGACTTGTACCAAAATAATAATAATAATAATAATAATAATATAACTTATAAGTTCTCTGTATTTAACCACTTTACTTTTCTCCCATCTCAAAATAATTAAAAAAAAAATTAACTACTTAGTTTTTTCACGCACCTCAAATAAATAAATAATAAAATAAAACTCTAATTTTATCTTTCTTACTCTTTTTCTTCAAAATTTATTATTATTTTTTATTCTCTCCAAAAGAAAATTCCATTCCCTTTGTTCAATCAAACTCTTTTTTTTTTTTTTTTCCCTTCAAGGTTGTTTCATAATTTTTTCCTTTTTATTTTTTTCTTTGGGTTTATTTTTTTTCACTTGTTTTTGTTATTGTAGTTGAACAATTATAATGAAATTTTTTTAGGAAAATTGCATAAAACACCCCACTACTTTTAATTTTTGGCAAGAAATCCCCTGAACAAAGAAAATCGACATAAAACTCCCTTAAGTATCTGATTTCTTGCAAAGTAATGTTATAATAACACAAATGACCTTTAATAAAAATTAAAATATTTTTTTATTTTTTCTTTTTAAACTTTTTAAAAACAGAATTTTAAGAAAAAAAAAATTAAAAATACACATCATTAAAGTGAAAGCAGAGGGGGTTTTATGTAATATGCCTTTGAAAAAGAAAAAAAAGAAAAAAACCAATATAATGTAAATACCATTTTTAAAAACAATTCAAACATTTTTTTTAATAAAATCTTGTGCAACAAATTAGTCACCAAACAATTTTTTGTTACCGAATAAATCACAAAAAAAAAAAAAAAAAAAAGGTTATTGTTTCAGCTCCATATGAAATAAAAAATGTAAAATAGAACTGTTACCAAAAGGACCTTTAATATTCGTATTTTGTTTCTAATTTTTTTACAACAATTATTTTTGGAATTATTAAAATACTATATGAATTTTGATATATTATTGTAATGTCACTAAACTTTTCTTTTTTGACTTGTTATCTTACTACACCGTTAGCTTTGAAAAAAAAAAAAAAAAAGTATTCTTTTTAATAACGTGTCCTAGTGTAACGGGTGGGTGCCTTGCGATCCGATCCAAAAGTTTAAGCTATTAGGTGGGGTTAACACCCAACACATATATACCCATCCACTTTTCCATCCAGGTCTAATGTGGGACAAGTCCCCACTTGTAACATTCTCCCCCACCTGAACTCGTAACTGCCCTTATTGTGGTCGGGTCATCCCAACTCGCAACCGCCATCGTTGCAGTTGGACCACCCTGCCTACCGGGGTGGCGCACCCGGACACATTCTAGCCGGCCGCTTGGCGTGGCATCAGATTAAAGTTTAAGTCTAACTATGATACCAACTGTAACGGGTTGGATGCTTCGTGATCTGACCCAAAATCTTAAGTTGTTAGGTGGGACTAACACTCAACTCATATATACAAATCCACTTTTCCCTTTGGATCCGATGTGGGACAAGTCCCCACTTGTAACACCTGGCTACACCAAGTAAAAATTACAATGTTTTTATAAATGAATCCTTAATAAGTTTACTAACTAAATGTTAATGGAAAAACTAAGTTACCCAAGTAAAAATTACAATGTTTTTATAAATGAATCCTTAATAAGTTTACTCCCCCCCCCCCCCCCCTTCTAACACTCAACTCATATATACCCATCCATTTTTCCCTTCGGGTCCAATTTGAGACAAGTCCCCACTTGTAACACCTGGCTACGTTGAGTAAAAACTACAATGTTTTTATAAATGAATCTTTAATAAGTCTACTAACTAAATGTTAATGGAAAGACTAATTTACCTCTTTAAATCCCCCCCCCCCCCCCCCCCCCCCCCCAAAAAAAAAATGCTAAGCTGAAGATAGTGGTACATGAAGTGACAGTCAATCTCAATGATCTTGGTAGACTTATAAAATATAGTGTTATATGCAATTTGAAAGACAATTATGTTATCACAGTAAAAAAGAGTAATGTTTCGTTTGGTGTACATAAATGGAATGGAATGCCAATTACAACCATACTTTTGTTTGGTATGCAATTTAAAGTGGGAATGGCCATTCTATAGGAAAATCCATTTTTGGAAAAAAAATTCATTCCGCAACTTAACCTATGGAATGGCCATTCCATTGATTCATTCTTGAGAATGAAAATTCATTCTACAACTTAATTTATAGAATGGTCATTCCATTCCCAAGTAATTTTTTTAAAAAAGTCAACTTCCCAAAAAACTCTCATGGTCCAAGTGCAAAAATCACCACCATCTTCCACCACAACCACCTCGGCCTTTCACCATCATCGCCTTCCACCACCGCCCCCACCACCAACTTTCACCACCATCTACCGCTTTCCACTACCACCACCGTCTTTCACCACCTACATTGTCTTCCCTTGTCGTAATCACCGCCACTACCACCGGCTTTCACCACCATTACTGCTTTCCACCACCAGCACCGTCGCCTTTCACCACAGCCACCGCCTTCCACCACCATTATTGCTATCGCCTTTCACCTCCGCTACTGCCTTCCACTGCCATAACCTTACACCACCGCCGCCTCTGCCACCACCACCGTTGGCATTGCCACCGCCACTGCCTTTCACCTCCTTCCAGTAGCATAGCCATAGAGGGACAAGTGAGGGCAGTTGCCCCCACTGAATTTTTAATTTTTTAAAATTTTATATAAATTTTTTTTTATATTGGTATAATTGTCCCCTCTAAAATTTGACAATGCACATATATATACCATATATATATAACCAAAAGCTTCTAAAAATTGACAATGCATATATATATATACATATAACCAAAAACTATGATATTTTTTTCACTTTCTCAAAATATTATATTCTTTTTCACTTTCCAAAAAAAAAAAAAAAAAAAATCATCAAGATATTGTATTATACTTTTGACTTTACCACAAACAAATAGATTGTTTCTATTACATCATCAGTTTACAAACATTTTTCACAATCCAAACAAAGCAAGCCGAGTTACCAAACAGAGACTCAATGCAGCCGCAAACAGGTAATCTGATATTTTTTTTATCATCTAAATTTTACAATTATTATTTGATATTATAATTTTAGTTAAAAAAATTATTGGTTATTACTATCAAAAAAATTTTAGGACCTTTTGTTCTTTCAAATTTTAGTTTACGTAATTGTGTTATTAATTATTATTCTGCAAATAAAACTTAGAATTTTTTTTTTTTTATTTGCAGCCCAAATCAATGAAATCACAGATTCAACTCTATCAAATTTTTTTTGATGGATTTAATTATCTGGTTATAACTTATAAGGTTAGATTTGGTTATCATGATTTTTTATTTTTATTTTTTCTACATATGTGATATATTAGGACAATTAGGTAACTGTGTTATTTTCTTTTTCATATCTTATTATTGATTCATTGAATATAATTTTTTTTTTTTAGTATATTTAATTCAATGAATTAAATTTTGAAATAACAATGAATAATGTGAAAAATCATTGTGAATGTACTGAATAGAAATATTATGAATCAATATTTTAAATTTTACATATATTGTTTTGGTAAAAATTTTATATATAATTGTTATTAAATACTGCCCCAATGAAGGAAATTTCTGGTCACGCCACTGCCTCCTTCCACCACCATCGTCGCCTTCCACCACCACTGCTGTCATCGCCTTCCACCATCTTCTATCACTACCACCGTTAACACCTACCACTATTGGTACCACCTTCTACCACCGCCACCTCCATTGCCTTCCATCACCGCCGTCACCTACACCACTATCTCCTTCCACCACCACCGCCACACTATTGCCACCGCCTTTCACCAACACCACTGCCTTCCACCATTGCTACTGCCACCACTTACACCACTACTATTTTCCACCACCGCCGCTACCACCATTTGTTTTTTAAAAAATATAGAATAATGTCATTTTGTTAATTTAATTTATTTTTTACTAACAATGATATTTTGGAGAATTCAATTTGAAATTTATTCCATTTTAAATTTAAAATTGGTCCAACCAAACACTAGAATGGTTATTATCATTTCATTCCTATACATTTCATATTTACAACCAAATAATAAAATGAGAATGGTTTTCTCCATTCCATTCCCACTTGCGTTTCATTCCATTCATGTACACCAAATACAACATAAAAGTAAAAAAGGAACATCCATATCAACAAGTAACAACTGCTACACAAAATTCTTGGCTCCAGAGTCATTTATAAAAACATAGACGAGTAGAGTATTGAGCTGGTATTTTAGATTTAAAATTATATAAAATTTAGTTTAAATTTTAAATTATTTTTTTTTTAATTTTAAAATAAGCCATTAGATGCTTCCAAACAACGTGACTGAAATTAAAAATAGTTTGGCTTGTAATGTTGTCTTTTATCTTTGATTTCAATTTTCAAAAACATTTGTCTTTTCATTATTTTAACAAAACCTAATTACTCATATTTTTCAGAAAAAGTATTTTTCATCATATGAAGATAATAGGTGTGGCGGTGAGGGTCGCCCCCATTCTATTGGTTTAGGTTCGATTTCCCTACCTCTAACCCCACTAACTAATGCTATCATATATGAAGATTACGTATTAGGGGATGACATGGCGCATGTACCAGGTACTAATCCATAATTCATGAGGGGACCAATTATCATTAATCCACACAGAGTAATGTAGGGGATCGATTGCAACAACTTGTTATATATATTTATATATATATATAAATACAATTAACCACTTGCACAATATACATACATGCAACATTAATTACAATTGATATTCTATAGCATCATGCCCACACATAGCTAGCATACCTGCTGTTGTGGATACAAAACCATTTTCATTTTAGAATGCTTTGTTTGAATATAACTGAATACTGATAACCTCTGAACATATTATTTTTTTTTTTTTTTGATAATTAAGTAATTCGCATAAATAAAAAGAGTAATTACGAAAAGGAGGGCATTTCCCTCAGCCCGAACATTACTGGGCAAGCAACAAAGAACAAAATGTCCACATAATTAGAACCTTATAATATTAATTCATTAGGTTACACATTATTGATATTTTGAGTGTCGACAACAATTGAAGTAAAATCTATTAAAGTAGTTTGACTTGTGCAATGAAGAGCAACAATTATATCAATAGGTGTATTTTATTATGATAAAATTGACTAATTTTATATAAATAATGATTAATTTTTTTGTGACGTGGAGAATTTTAATGACATCATGATAATATTAAAGATATTAATTATATTATGATGACGTAAGTTTTTATTCATATAAATTAGTCGGAGTTATCCGATTACCCAACCCCAAATTATTATCCATGTTAGAAAAGAAAAATGTAAAAACCATCGTGCATTAAATTGATATAGTTTTGTAATTTAGAAAAGAACGACGCAACTTGATTTCTTTACCATAACAAAACAAATAAAAAAGTTTTACTTGAATTAAGACATTTCTAAGACCAACTTATAGATTAATACCTCACCAACCGAAAACAACTTGCAATCAATTCAGACAAATCCCCTGACATAATTTATTAATGTGGTGAATTTGCAATAATGGACTGTCTCATACCAAAAGTCAGGTGTTTTTCGTACTTAACCATTGAATAGAGACATTTTTTTAAAGAGTAGTGATGGAGAAATCGAACATTTCTACCGAAATAAATATCGAATCTTATGTGGCTTTATCCATGTCAAATAATTTCATTACCTAACTCTTTATCATCGATCTTTTCTTTCCTAGTTTTTCCTTTTTCTCTCTCTTCCTCTTCGTTCTCTCTCCTCTCTATCTCTACTTCTTCACCAATTCTTCTTATACATCTCCTCTTTTGATATACACATATATTAAGTATTCTAGAGACAAGATCCAAAATTCTTTATCCTCGCTCCTTTTTCAAGATCACCTACTTTTCTCTATTCATAAATCTTCCAAGAATAAATCTTTCCAATTCTAGATGAAAACTATGTAGATTTTTTTTTTTTTGAGTAAGTAAATATTCACACAAGAGTTGTTATTAATCCAGAGAAGAGAAACGGATAAATTTTCTCAAAGTTTCCATTTGATTTTTATGGATACAAAATCTGAAGGAGAGAAATAACATTTGTAGCTTTTATTTTCTTTTTCTTTTTCTTTTTTTGTTCTATTTTGGTTTTGTGATTCTGTATTTGCAAAATATGAAGAAATTTAATTTTTTTTATTTTATCTTAAATTTTACGAAATCAAAAAGAGACAAAACCAAAATCAAAGATAAGATTGAATACAAAAGAAAAATCGAGAATTAGATGAAGAGAGGAGAGAGAAGGGAAAAGGTAGGAGTTATCTTTTTAGAAAATAATTTGACGTGGCTGAGCCACGTTAAATTCGATCTTTTATTTGGTTGTTTGTTTCGGTTCTCTTATCATTTTCTTTTTTTAAATATGTTAAAATGATTCATTCAATTAGTCTTTTGATTTTGGAAACAAATATGCTTTTACATAAGTGACATACCGGTAACTTGTTTGTATTGAATACCAACACCTTCGAATATGTGTTGGATACTTTATTAACTTATTCATAATTTTAAAATATGTTTTTTATTTCTAATACATATTTGATACTTTTTAGATACTTCGATCATGTATATGATATTTTTCATATACCACAAAACATGTTTTCAATAAGTTTTTATTATTAAAATATATTTTTTTCAATAATAGTTATCAAAGTATATTTGTTAATAAAAATTAAAAATTTATTTTAAAAAGAAGTATTGAGATATATATAGTAAGTTAATTAAAAAATAAGTAATGATATATATTAAAATATTATGTCTAATTACTTTTTTACATAGAACATATTAATGATTACATTTAAATTCATACTATTAAAAAAAAATGACCAAAATTAATTTATTATGTATATAAAAATATAATTTTTTATATATATTTATTATTTGTTGTATCACTATACCCGTATCATTTTGTATCCACATTGTCAGGGACAGACCCATGTGAGGCCCCAAGGGGGCACTTGCCCCTACTGGAATTCTAAAATTTTTTATGTTTACCTAAAAAATTTTAGGTAATTATATAAATACCCCCATAACTTTATCCTTTGCCTCCACTGAAATTTTAAAATTTTCTATTTTACCTAAAAACTCTTATATAATTATCTAAGTTCCCCCATAATTTTATCATTTGCTTACATTGATTTTTTTTTTTTTTTTTTTCTCTCACTCACGCTCTCATTATTGTTTAAAATCGCCCCCAGTAAAACAAATTTCTGATTCCGTTATTGATATTTGTGCTTCTTAACTTTTAATTAAGTAATTAACTATAAAGAACTTACTGCTCTTATCATGAGAGGGTCTTCTCAATGGGCTTGGATCCTCTAAGTTAAAATTCCTCTAAATTGTCATAAGTTGAATTTTTTTTACAGAATGACACGTGTCATTTAAGATATATCTATGGCTTATATTAAATCACTTCAGCTAATTTAATAAAAGTTAGGAAACTGTACTGTTTTAAGATAGAAAAACTTTAAAATGCCTTAATTACTGTACTTCAGTTTAAATCTAAATCTGCATAAAAATGCATCTAGTTATTACCAACCAA